TATTTAATGTGAGTTTTAAAAGATGTCAAGTTGTTTGTGACTGGGTTCTTCTGAACCTGCCTCTGGGATCTCTCTTAGATAGTGTCCTAGAAGCCGCCTTGTAATGTCGAAGATACTCAGAGCACTTCATTGCACACAACACAATACTCAACTTGGCAAGTGGCCATTTCTGTGCCATTCTTGGTTGTGATAATGTAACTGTAATATTATTGGCTCTGTGCCTGCTGAAATGTGTTTCTATCTGAGAATTCCTGAAGATCCACTCGACCTGATCCTGTTTTGTTCTATAACCCTAGGAAAAGTCTGCTGTTCAGTTGTAAAGAATGCAAGCTTTAAATTGCTTAGACAAATACATATGGGAATGAATATTAATTAGCTCCCGCTGTTTCAGAACGCTGGGAGGCAGAACTGTCTAAAAAACTTCTAATTCTGCTTCACACGTGTATAAAGTCAAAGTTAGCAGCCATGGACTGTGAAACGGTGAGAGCTAATTAATTTTCATTCCCATAATTACTTGCATTAATAGCGAGTGCTTGCTCTTAAAACACCCATAACCCTGAAACATGTTGCTTCTGTAACACAGATAGATGAAGATTTTCACATACTTTATAAAAAATTGAAGATGGTAAGTAGTACTTAAGTGATCATTTATTTATTTCCTATTAGAAAATGTTTCTTCCTGATTTGAATAGTTTTAGATGGGTTGTCTCTGTGCCTTATTCAATTCAACTGTAATTTTCTTCAGACTTATTTATCATGTTGTGTGAAGGACACGTGGAACTTACAAGTTTCTGTTTCCACGTGTAGCTCCACATATTGAGACCCTGTAGCATGGTTGTGTTCTTTCTAACATTCTTGTATCCCAGGAAAACATGGGCATTTTCACCACATTTGTATTAATGGTTAAGGATTAGTTTCATGTTTTAAGATCCAATAATGTTACTTTAAAATATAATTACTTTATGAAAGACTTTCTTTCTCTCCAAATCGATTTAAACTTCCCATCAATGTAATAGTGCATGGTTTTATTTTACATTTTAAAGTTGTTAGAGTGTGGTACTAAAAATGTTTTGTTGTATTTGTTAAATAAAGTGACAGCTCCAGTAATATAGTCCCAAATGCATAGTTTGTCTGACCCACAATATACTTTATTAAATTGAAGCACGGTATTGTAATTAAATCAGCCAATATACAGTATTTGTGCTTTTAGCTTCATGCCTTGGAGGATCTGTGTAATCCAACAGCCATGTTTCAAGTTGAAAGCCTCGATGCACTTTCAAGGTCAGAAGCATGTCAGTGTTCATTTTCAGTGTCATCTCCAGTCACTCATTTCTTCATTACAAGCACATCATGCTCCCTATTAATGTCTTGGCCAAATTGTTGTCAGTAGTGACCTTCCATAAAATATTTGATCTCAATTTTCTGTCTTACTTGCAATTTTACTGAATAATTTGATTTCAATTGAATAAGCTGTCACTTTAGTTTTTAGATATGGAGTATCGGGATACTATTGGAGTTGAAAACACATTTTCTACTTATTGTCTTCTATGTTCATTCAAAATCCTTGCATTTTTTTTGCCGTGTCCATTCTATTCATTCATAGATTCCTGATAAAATTAAATGTTTACCTGTACACAACGGATAGTGATGTATGAGAAATTAATTTTACCAAAATAACCCTACAACATTTATTTGTATTTCTCCCTTATATCTTTTGTTCATATATGTTCATGTTTGTGAGTTTGTCTGCGTATTACACAGTTTTTGTTTTTATAATGAGGGGAATGAAAGAAGATTTGTAGCTAAATGTGAATATATTTACTTCCATACTCAATGGAACTTTTTCAATGCAAATAGGTGTGTAGTGAGCAATGCCTGTAAGCAGGTACGTTTATAATCCAAATTGCAGAGTAAGGAATAGTTTAGATACATTCAACCATTTATAACTTATTTAAAATTGATGGCATAGAACAAGCTCACCCATTTCTCTGGGAATGTGTGTCTTCCCCAGCTGATAAATGCCTTACATCTAAGGTATTAAGGAGCAGCACAAGGTCACAGACTTACATTCTGTTTAAGCTATATATACACATAGTGCAGTGCTCAGCAGTTTCTTCTTCCTGTAAAGGATTCTCCTTGGAGACTACAGTTAACTTTCACATGTACAGAGAACAGAAAGGACAGGAGAGGAATGCACAGAAATATTCTCAGGCCTTGAAATAGGAAAACATTCCAGGTTTTATTACCAACTTTCCAAGGCCTCTGAGCAGTCTTGACATAGTCGCTCTTACTGTCTGGCCTAGATCTGAGTATATCAATATCAACAACATCAAGTTACTTAACCATGTTCCTTTATTTGTTTGTTCAAAATAGATAAAAATGATTAAATCAATTGATTCTAAAGTGTTGGGACAACATAAAAATTGGAATTTTCATTTTGAACTCTAATAATAAATTCTCATGAATAACAGTGCATCGTGAGAATAAGTGCATCACCTGGGTTTTTCATTTTTAATAAAGTCAGTTCAGTTCTCCTTTTACAAAGTCCAAATACAAATTGATAGCAGGGAACCTTTTTGCCTTGAACAAGCAAATCTATTGTGACAATTACCTGACAGGCAACTGTCGATCAGGTTGGGTAATAATTCAACACAATGTACATTTATTTCTAATGTGATCAAACCGGTGCACGGGATTACCCAAAAATAAAAAGTATATTATATTGCCCTTATCATGCATATTAATATCATGAGCAAGAATCAAGATTTTTGAGTGAACAGGAAAAGCAACAGTATTGAATTTGATGTCCAAATATATTTGGAAGGCATTGTACTTACTGTCGTTGTTTTGTGGGTGAAGAAAGTAAAGAACAGAATCTACTTTCACATACTTGCCTGAGAAAGTAGGACACTAGATATGATGTCGAGACTAGACTCCACTAGCATTAGTCTGAATTTCTTGTCTGAATTTATTAAAGGGACACTGAACTGCACACTGGAGTTTGTGGAGAAGCAGTGTGCATCTTCTTTGCATCATCCCAGGCATCTACCTGCAACACAGAGCCATCACCCCAAGAAATGTAATACAAATAGATCATTTGCCAAATCCAGAAGTTTCATATCTGTAAAATAGAATTACATTTGCTGTAATGCAGCAGTGATATTTAAAAGGCTTTCAAAGATACATGCGCACACACACCATCTCATTTCAGTGTGGCCTTGCCTTCAGAAATAGGTGCAGAGTAGTTTTTTCAGCATAGCAGTGAGACCTGTAGGGTTAGGGTTAGGGTTAGGGTTAGGGTTAGGGTTAGATTTAAACAGAGCATTAAGGTTAATCGCCTTGAATCTATGGCAAGCTAGAGCCCACACAATATTATTATGACATCTCATCCAAGGCATCATGTCCTAGGAACCAGCACATGTGCTGTCTATAGGAAAGAGATTTTTTTTTTATTACAAAACTAGATCTCAAAATTCATTATCTCTGTGCTACTGCATTGGCTGATATTTAAAAAGCTTTATTCATGGATATTCTGTACTATTACAGATGCACAGATGAATTCCCTGTTATTGATGTTAGCTATAATTTCAGGGCGACATGATTTAATTGGCTGTTTTTGATCTGCCTGAGTTCAATGAACAATCTGCACTTTTGCTTCATGGTGTGTACAGTACATTTTAAGAAATGCCAGTTTAAACATCCTGCAGCTCATCCTGCAGCTTTTAAACTTTACCAGCTTTTGCAAAGTGAATCAAGTCAATATGTCAGTATTTTTTGTTCATCCTCTCAAGGTTTTAAATAATTTAATAAAAATAATAACGCATGATCTCCTGTTGATGCAATAAAGTTGTCTATTATGAATCAGCTCGTCTGCAGAACCACACATGCAATCAATGTAACATGAGTAAAATTTCAGCTGTCCAATGAATAATTTAGTACCTTATCCCTTGGCTTCTGTGAATGCCATCACCTGCTTTTGAGTAATTTTGGAGAGAACTGACAGACTGAGGGCAATACACATTACAGCTAAGAGCAGGGATTAATCCCAGTCACTTGTCAGCAAATACATAATTCTTAACTGCAGTGGCTACATCCCAGAGGTATTACATCACATGGAATGCAAAAAATTCAAGGAAAAAAATCTCTACATTTTGCCATATACATTAATTTAGCAATTCTTCAGCTTAAGGCATTGCATTACACCTGCAATCATTTTACTAAATGGTGATGTAGGTATTATGTGGGAGTGGTGCTCGAGTCTCTGCAGGTGCTCTGCACATTGGTGATTTGATACTTGGGTACTGTTTTGTTACTTGTGATTAAAGACAAGAAGGCCTTCTTTTGGTGTTTCAACAAGCTACTGCAAAGGGGTTTCTCATGTTGTCATTAAACATTAAAAATGTGAAAATACACCCTTCTTCTTTTAAACAAAAATACAAAAGCTCAGTTTATGTTGCGTCCTTATTGCCTCAGACTCTGATGTCTCATTCTAATTAGAATGTTATGCATTTTTTTCCCTTTTGAAGCAAAACGTACTGTACTTTTAACACATCTTGTTAAATGCAAATTACACATACCATCTGGCTCAGAAATAATCAATTAGTATCTCAAGGGAATCTAAAAATACCTGCTACCTTGGCCTTCCATGCAGCTATGTGCAAGGAATTACTTTGCAAGTATGTGGTGCATCTCAGCTATGTCATGTGTTTGTTCCCTAATTAATTCTGATTAACTCTGGAAGATATGGTTTGTGATCCATGCATGCATGCCTTTAAGACCTTGTGATCATTTTAACCCTTGATACTCAGTCATGAATATATATTCATATATATTCGCTTTTGCTTAGTCTGTCTTTTTTCTAAAAGCAATCTCTCTGTTTCCAGATCGGCTGACTGAGACTCTTCCTCATGTCCGAGCTGCACCCCCATCCCCTCCCCCACTCGTTCTCTCTGCTTCTTGTTCCTTTTATCTGCTCATTCTCCCTTTACCTCCCTCTGTTTCAGTGTTAACTGTCTTTCCTTGCTTCAACATGTTCGAATGAGGAGCTGCATCAGCCAGTGAGCCACAAAGGAAGAAGGAGAGGTTAATTCCACACAACAGCACAAAGACAAAGGAAGGAAAAAACAATCTCTTCAGGTGTGTAAAGGCTCCACGTCTGAAATGCTGTGTTTTTCTTTTTGTCCCGTTATACTCTTCAGCACGGAATTAACCTCTGCTTATTCCTTAACTTAGAAATGACTCATTTCTACAGAGTATAATTTATGCACTGAAGAAAGCCAATATCGCAAGCTAATGGCAAGCCCTCAGATTGTGTGTTTAGGTGCCAGCTGTCAGTCACTGCTAACAAACCTTGCTGTATGATAGTATTAGGCTGCCATCTGGAGAATGCCCAGGCATGCTCACGTGGAGCCTTCATTCTTCCCTCAAACGTAATTTCAGCAGCAGCCTGTCTAGGATTTTAAATTGCTGTGCTCTGTTCTTCCCATAAGAACAAAATGATATGGACCAAATACTCACACATTCCTGGCACTGCCAAGGTGATTTTCAGTGCCCTTTCTTCCAGAACTAATTCTGCTCTCCTCATTCCTTCCATGTTTGAAACCAGAGACTAGATTCTTCCCTGGTGGTGTTACGCTGTGCCTAATCATGAAATTAAGGTGCGGAAAACTGAAACGATTCCCTTTCACTTAAATGCAGTTTTTGACAACGATCCGAACTTTATGGTCTTATGTTAGAAGTGTGCAGGCAAATGTAGCACCGGAGCAAAGTTGGAAAAGTCCTTGTGTCAGTGTAGTGAACCAACCAACATGGTAACTGATGTTGACCTACATAGAAAGTGCAGGCAGAAAATAGATTAGTTCAGGTGTGCTGTGAGTTATTTCCTTTATTATTTTATTATTAATCAAATAAGTAACCTTTCCCGTCAAAGACCATTGTCAGAATAAAAAGAAGAAAGGAAGATAGTGACAGGGGATGACAGAGTCTGGGATATTATCTAATTTTGCCTGTACTAAAAAATGGATCTTTTTGCAGACAAATACTGTAAGTGAATGGAAAAAAAAGCCTTTGTGGGTCAAAGTGTTTTTTCGTGTGCTTCTATCTCTAACAGAATTGAACACGTTCATCAGTTAATCACATCACACTTCCCACCACATCCTTACTCAGCCAACTGCTAACTCCTGGAACACTGAGAAGAAGAAACACCGGCAGCACCACTAGAAACAGCAGTGGCTTCGAACCTCTGAAGACAGTTTGCCAATTTCAACGTCCTTAAGCATGCTTAATCTGGGGCTAATTATTGATACTTAACACAGAGCAGCAGTCTTGAGGATGTATGAGTCTCTCAGACTCTGCTGTTATATAAATATACAACCTTCCAGCTAACAGTTTATTACGAAGTACTTCTTAACGGGTCTTGGATTAAAACAACGTGTTTACCCACCAGGCAAAAATGGAAAAATGTCTGTTTCTGTTTTCTAGAGATATCTTGCTTTTATCTAATGTAAATAGGTTCTTGGTTTGCAATTGGTTTCAGGGCAAGAATGGTGGTAACTTTCTAATACAGCAATGTCTCTGATTGCAACTACAGTATCTAAGTCACTTTTGCACCTATGACCTTGGGGTTAAATATTCTTTTTTCTATGTTTGAATTATTATATGTAGTTTATTGCATGTGCTGTGCATCCTCTCTGCCATCATTTTTTGTTCCTGTCTTTTCCAGTTCTTCACATCTGAGACATCATTATTTCTGTGATTGTGAGCGTGAGTAAACTTTTAGAATGAATGATATGAAGTTCTTATTTGTTATTCATTTAACAGAAAATACCTTGAAGTAGCATTACAGATACAGATAATGTACAGTGAGAAGAGCTGGAAGAAAAATGCATTTTTGGCCCTTTTGAGATGTGCCTGCTAAACTGCTCAAACTTATCCCTGGCTAAACATATTCCCTCAGTACACAATGCTGTGTTCTTATACTCTTAAAGGCTTCATGCTGGGATCTAGATATCGTCTAGCAAAAATAAGACTTCCTCATTGATCACTTTGATTAGCACTGGTAGTTTATATAATTAAGGTCCTTAAAATGTATGTCCTGATAGATCTAATGTCATTTATTGGTGCTACTGTATTAACTGGGCAGTGTGGCATAATGGGTAAGTAATGGACAGGGCTGATGGGTTGTGGGTGCACATCCCTGCTGCAGACAGTGCTGTTAGAGCTTGAGTGAGGGACTAAATCCAGTAGCTGTGGTCCCCCAGCTACATGCATGGAGTCCAGCATTGCTGAAGGAAAGACCTACAATAGACTGGAGGCCCATCAGGGGGGTCACGTGCTCTGGGAACCAAGATAAGTTCTGGCCCCATCATCTATTCGGGCTCAGAAATTACCTTCCTCTTGTATTACTGTTCTGTTAACACTATAACTGGTACTATTCCACTGGGAAACATTATGATGCTGTCAGCTGAACTACTGTAAATTGTACCAAAGGCAATATATCCATCCTGGAAGAAATGAGTCACATTTGTGCTCCTGAAGTGGGCTCTATGGCAGAAACATCACATTGTTTCTTGCCTTACGTTCCTGTATAATTCCACACTGTATAGTAAAAAGACAAAAAAAAACATTTTTATCTGTGGTGTTGTCAAAGATGAAGAAGTCACATACAGACATTTATCATCAGAAATTAAAGTGAGTGTAGCACTAGTGCGCATACCACATTCATATAAAGGTACAGTGTCTTGTGTTGTTCAGCTGTGTGTTTTTACTCCACATGTTGAAGACAAAACACTCATCCGAATCAGAAACAACACTCTCACAAGATTCTCCATTGATTCTCATTGCAGGTCATCCGTGAACTGAAAGCCTATGTCATTTAGAGAGCATGTGAAAGCAATGCAGAAATAAAACGTATGTAATGAAATGACGAATAAAAATGCATCTTTAAAGGCAGATAAACCCTATACTGTACATGGGGAAATATATACAGAAAGCAAATTTCCTGACTGCAAAAATAAGTGAAATCAAATTCCTTGTTTTTTCTTTCTATGAGTAAAGGTGTAAAGCATGGCAAACTGCCCAGTGCACAGTAAATGAATCTGCATGGGCAATTTGCCCCCATTTTGCACACAAGCACCACAAGAGTGATTTTTAGATAGAAAAGCCTGATGAAACTTGATCTAGTAATACGTTTTGTGAAAACCAGTAAAAAAAAAGTATGATGACCACAGCTATCGACTTTAAAAAATCACTTTTCTGCACACAACAGCACTAAAACAATCAGCATATTGACTGCTGAGCAGGAAATTGGCAAATCTATTGAGTTGTATTGTACGGTATTCTATGGTCTAACCCACAAGAACCAAGATCCCAAATACTGTACTTTGTGAAGTTCAATCTTAAAACATTAATTTTTTATAACTAACTCATTAAATAAATTCACAGTATTGGTAATGCTGAGCTCGTCTAAAAACACTAATAATAAAATCGTACAATTGAATCTATTTCAGGACTAATATATAGCCATACTGGGCCACTTCAGCAGGTAGCAGTCTTGCATTTGTTTGTGTTGTCAGTGTATGATTAATGACGATATCTGTAGGGGGTCATAAAAGCATGTGGCTGAATAATTGCTATGATCAAGCAAAAGTCTTGCTTACCTGAAATATGGCCAGTTGCTGTGTTTTGCATAATGTACTTTCGCTTGGCAAGTGATCAGAATTAATTACTTGTACATTTCTCATGAAAATCCATTAAGCTCTTAGGATCCTGGCCATCTAACAAAAAGCCCTGGAATTGTAATATGCAGAAAATATCTACAGTATGTCTTTGTAATTTCAATTTAAATACAATACGTCATTTTATCTCTCCCTCTGACTTATCATTATTGTCAGTTGTTAAAAGGAATTGTTCACAAAAGCCACATTTGCAAAAACATGTGGACAATGAAAAAAATGCTTTTTTTGTCAGTAATAAAAACAAACTTACATCTCTTTAATGACACTGTGAAATTAAGAAAACCTACCAATGTAACTCCAGTATATGGAATTCACATAGAACTTGATGTCCGCATTCATTTAATTTCCAATGAGAAAGATGCCCAATGAGACAAGGCCTTTCTGATCTGCCTGCTCATTTGACTCTCTTCTCCTGCGGGCACAGCGTTGATGAGTAAAGGCTGCCCCAGGTGCGAACCCTCTTACGATGAAAACCACCTTGTAGCCTTCCTGGAAAGGAGCACTTTAAAACCAGCCCTGAACAGTGTGGCTTCGGAAGTTTCGATGGAACTGGAACACCTGGCAGAAGCCCCACACGAACAATCCGAGAAGACACAGGCTCCACACATGGACAGGTAGATACATCGAGGACACTGGAACTGGAGCTGAGATACATGAATTACCATACCACCCCAAGTATTTATGAGCATAGCCTGTGCATTCCTGCATTTTCCAGATGCACGCGGCTGAAATTGGCCGTTCTGTTTGTGCATCACTTACTCCAACGTGCATTATGTTATTTCAGTTCTACTATCCAGAAGAAATGAGGCAGTACTCAGCCTCACTTCAAGAGCATGAAAATACATTTCTGTGCTTGCGTGTTCCGAGTGTAAAGGCAATTTTGACATTGGGAAAACAGTTACTGTATCCCAGGACCATCTTTGAGTGGCATGTTATCACTTTGACATGGCTGTGAAAATTACCAGCAGACAGGCAAACACAAATGGTATCATTTTCTTGTTATTAGCAACTTTTCACAGAGAGTTTACAGGCTGAGTGTTGAAAACACCTGTCCATGCCTTTTTGAGTGGATGTTAATAGGCTGGGCTCGTTTCCCTGGTGCTTTGCCTGGGATTATGAAGTCATGTTTTGCTTGTCTGTACAGGGTTCGGCTTGACAGCTTTCATGCTCACTTGGCAAGGGAGTCCATGAAGTAGATGCAGATCCAAGACATCCCCTGTTTCACTGGCCTACCCTTCTGTATGATCTCACCTTTGTCTTCAAATCTGTTGGGGTAGAGTAGTGTGCATTTTACAAAGGCTTTGTATATCCGATGTCCTTATCCCTCAATTTACAAAAGAAAAAGAAAAGAAGGCAACAACTGAACACGTGGTGATTAGTGGTTGTTCTGCCTTGCTGCTGTTGCATTCTGTGATCCACTGGGGTGATTCCTGTGTGGAGTTTTTCCCGTTCTGCTTGTGTTCTTGTGGGTTTCCGCTGGGTGCTAAAGGCATGTTGGATTATTAGGGTGTCTCTAAATTCTCTCCTGCTTTGCACCCTGTGACAATACGTTCTCCTTGCATTCTGCAATAACGTCTGGGTTCCCACAGCCTTCAGAAAGGAATAAGCTGCTTCCACATAATGACTGGATCATTAGATGTAAGAGCAGGGCAAATGAAATTTTACAAGTTAGCACAAGACTGGGATATTAGTTAGGATAAACAGATAATTTTGAATTTAGCTGCATATTTCTAAACGTCTCAGGCTAAAAATATTCCTGATTAAAAATATTAGAAGGGGCTTATTATTCTTTTGTATTTGCATATGACAATAAACTGAACTGAACTGAACCTTGCAATACATAAAGGAGTTAAAAAATGACTCTATATACAATGTTTTGTGTTCAGCCATTTCAAATTCACATTTATTATGCAACACAGTAAACTGAAGCTAGAGAACCTAGGATGGACCTACAGTATGTTTCCAAGTCTATGTCTAAGACAGTCACACAAGCGGATTCTAACACTTAGTACTACAATGGTTTGAGCTGAAAGATTGAAAACCATTAAAAGCGTTGAGTTTTAATCAATTTCATATGCAACTGGAAGATTTTAGCTGCAGCAAGCTTGTTAGGCTTTTCTGCTGAATATGAAACATTATAGCACTAGAATGCAAGTAGAATGCTAAAAGAGATTAGGTTGCATCCGTGCATATAAAGTATGCAGGCATCCAAAACATTTTTCTCATTTAAAATAAAAATATGTATTCTTCCATATGTTTAGACTGAAACTAAGTAAGGGTTTTGGGGTGAACATATGGAAAACATTGAATTCAAATTTGTAATCTGTACAAATCTTTTATATAGTGACATTATCAGAAATATTCAATCTTATTCATTTACTGGATGTGCGTGGTTTAGAATCCAAAATCTGATGATCAAGCAATGTTCCTCCAGTGCTACTGGTTACTGACATCAATTATATGTACCTTTATTCCACCCGAGCCTTTCCTTAGAAACAAAATGTAAAACTTATTTTAAAGTTTAATTACTGCGATGGCAATCCCCACTCGTGAGGTTGTTTGCTGGGCATGCCGAAAAGATATATAAATTACCCCTACTTCACTTATGAGCTTGATGTGCTGTCCTCTTGTGCTGTCTGTGTTTGTTCCACAAATCTGTCATTCTGTCTCCAATTCTGTCACAGTTACAGATTAGTGGGTAATGTTAAGGAAAAGTG